CTTTTACGTACGCTTGCATCGCACGCACGAGTGCGTAGAGATGGTTGAAATTACGGAATTGTTTGCATCCTTTCATCTCGGGAACCAGAGAAGATAGGAAGCACATATCAAACCGTGAAGCATGTAACTGCACCCATCCACTGGGCAGCACTGTGCGAAAATGCATGTTCACACCCATTAAGTGATGCACGAGGCTGTTAACTTATTTTTGCTTCTTCACCTAGATGCTTTTCTGGACTTGTTAAAGAACTCCAGTGATAAGGAGTTATGGTTTTAACAATCTATTGAGGAGCGTATTTTTAACTCAGCTATCAGTTGCAAAGTGAATTGGTAATTTTACTTCCATTTTATAAAATCAAGTTTTTGGGTCAGTTTTTATGCGTTTTTGCTTATATGCAAATGCAAAAACGCATAATCATATTATGACTCCGGTGTATGTATGTGTGTATGTGCGTGTGTGTATGTGTGTCCGTTTGTCTGTCCGGATATTTCAACTCGACAACCAAGCAAGCTCCAGCACCAAAATCTTGTTAGTGGGTTCCCGGCCAGGTATCACCGCGGGATCGCGGTAACAACCTTCAAGCAAGTCTTAGCTCCGCGTGCGAGAGGGTGAAATTTTTGACGGGAAAATTGCTAACTTAGGAAGCAGAAAAGCTAAAAAGCTGAAATTTTGGGGTTATGTCCCCAGTCCACTTAGAACTAAAAGATTTCAAATCTAGCCCCCAGTTGTGCATGGTCCCCGCGCATGGCCTCGTGAAGGCTCCTGGCGGGAAATCCGCTAACTTGGGAATCGAGAAAGCTGGGAAGTTAGAATTTTAAGAGGATGTTCCCAGCCCATGTACAACATAAATTTATCAAATTCAGCTCCCGATAACGCGTAGTTTTCAAGTATGGCCTCGTGAAAATTTTTGGCGGGAAATTTCTAACTCGGGACCCAGGGAAGCCGGGAGGCTGGAATTTTAAAGAGATGTTCCCAGCCCAAGTACAAATTAGAGATTCCAAACTTAACCCCCGGTATGCCTTCAGGTTACGTACGGCCCCGTGAAAGTTTTGGCGGAAAAATTGCTAACAAGAGAACCAGAAAACTTGAAATTTTAACGGAATATTCCCTGTCCGAGTATCACGTAGTTGCACAATTAACTTCCCGAACTTCGAGGACCAGTATATCACAACCTCTAGCTACCAGGTCTCTGAGCGATATTACTGCAGCGCGAAATACTGCAAAATCGCATGATCGGAGTGCTTGTTGCTAACGATTTTTATTTGCAACGACTGGGTATTGTGTTTTTTTTTTTTTTGATTGCGCTGAATTTCTCTGGTTAAATTTTGCTTCTATTTGAGTCTTCGCTGTCTTCCGGTTAACCTTTGTATAGACAGGTTCTAACATTTTCTGCTTTGATAATGAGGAAAAAAGACATTTTCCAGGTCAATCCATCACAATTTTGAAATATTTTGCATTTTTTTCTTAATTAAAATAAATGCGACAGTTGCACGGAAAACTCCATGGAAACCGCCATACGAATACAAAAAAGACCCTCTCAATCAATAATTGAGTGTTTATCTATTCAAGATGTCCCATTTTTTTTTCTACGAAGTAAGCAACATCGTGCATGGCCTCCAAATTCAGCGCGGGTAACGGTGCATGCCAGAAGACCGGCATGATTATTTTCTTTGACGGTTAGCCTTTGTAGTGGAGCGGTTATTGAATGCATTGGCATGTGCAGAAGGAATCTGCATCAAATGTTTCATTCATTCCACATTAAAATATGAAATCGTAGTGCCGAAGTTCTTAAGTTATTTAGTTAGGATATCCTACTTTTTGAACACTGATTTCCGATTAAACACTTTGTACTGTGCAATGGACTGAAACCCTCCAGAAATCCAGAATTTTAGCTTGCTTGGCTTTGAAAGTGCCTGGGATTATAGTCAAGAATGCAGGTGGTCTGAAAGTTGGTTTCGCGTTTATTATCGCTACATGGCTAGAGTGTAGCAGAAGAAACGGAAATTGAAGGGTGAGTTGAAAGAGGCATGGAGGAGGTGAAAATACATGCTAGATTTGAAGGGATCCGCAAAGTCCGTACCGGTGGGCTTACTCAAAAATTGCTGCCGCTTTGAGCACAGGAATAAAAATTCAGTGGTCACTGCGGTTACTCTTACACATATCCGGCTTTGGCTACTTACACTGCTATGCGGTGCAGGAGCTCACAAGTGCTGCCACGTAAGCACAGCACTCGTTGCAACAACCTCTCACTCAGACCTTACCGTTACAGTGGGAACTCATCCGGTCTTTATTACCGAACTTGGGGATTAAAAAACCGGAAGAGTTTTGCTTACGTACGGCTCAGATTCATATGGTCAGAATTCCAGTTCCTTAGCTTTCTCGACTTCGACGCTGAATTTCTGGTTACTCGTAAACTTGGTCTGACATTAATACGTCTTTGCCTTTTTTAAATCAGCTACCGTTTGATAGCAGCGCATTTTCACTTTATTAACAACTAGGCAAACAGACTTTTGTGGATGCTATAATCGGAGTTGTATCAGCTGGTGAATAGCTTGTTGGCGATGCTGATGTTCGTTTGTCAGCATACTTTATTTGTTCGTTTCGAAAAAGCCGAATGTTTTGCATTTCCTGCACCGTTACGGTCCTTCAACTGACCTTTTAGCTTTCATTCCATGCTCTTCCGTAACTTCCATTACCAGTAACATGGAACTTGTCATGACTTGTTTTGTAGGAGTTTGAAAAAGCACTGGACTCTGAGTGTAGAATTATTTCGAGTCACAACAGCAGATGACCGGTGGACATCACAGTTATTAATAATTACTGATGTGAAATTATGTAAACAAACGTGGACCCGCACAGTTACGCTTGGCTACACTCCTAATGCCTACAGGGAGGTGGGGTGAACAGTGACACACAGAAGTGCCTTAGTAATTAAGAAACACAAATAAAAATGTCAGGTAAATAAATAAATAGTAAACGAGTAAACAAACGACTTCGGAACGGGTCAGTAAGAGCCATGACAATCGATCAAACAACTCGAAGTACCTTCTTTGACTGTTTCAACGCCAGTATCATGTCCTTCTTCTATAAAATTATACACTGGGCAAGCACTTCAAATATATATTTTATTGCTGTGCAAAAATATACACATATTTGTTTATTCACATTTGTAGATCCCGGACAGTTGGTTTGGATATCTCATGTTAAGGATAGCACTGGGACCCTCTCATACACCGGGCGCAGCTATGCCAAATCCTTCAATCCTGAATGGCATATGTCCAGCTGACTTTCATGATTTTCTAGTAAAATTTTTGCGTAGGCTAGACTTTCGTTCTTTTTTTCACACAGGGCCAACTTGCATACAGACCGAACGGTATTAGAACTAAACGGCAATTACCTTCACTACTTCAACCAGTAAATATTCTTAGCAGTTCTTGTCTGTAGATTTCCTACCATTATAATAATTTCACAAATTTTCTCTAATTCTCATTTCTTACCTTCCTTTTTGATTCTTCTGCTTATTTTAATATACGCTGTTAATATTTCTTTCCATTATAAATTGATGTGCTTTTAGTTTGGCACAGAAAACATCATTACTGTCTCGAAGTCTTAAAATAGAAAGGTATTATTGGCTTCTTCAGTTCTAGTTTGTACGCGCTAATTGCATGCATGAGCTAATGAAAAACGAAGCGCAGGTGCCAGTTTAACAGACAAGGAAACTGAACTGAGGATGCCTAAAATATTGTTACGTATCTGCTTAAATTTGTCAGTTGCTTCGTTGGATGGACAGCGTGCACATGACGTTACTGTATTTGTGGAAGATCCGAAAATTTATAGGATGGGGCATGTAGCTTTTTTTTGCCGATACTCACGGGGAAAAAGGAATGAGCAGTTGCGTGACTTCCGTGGAGAAGACAAAGGTAGTTGCTACATGTGCGGCTTGTAAGCTTACTCTGCTACGTCAGTGACTTAATTCAGCTGATTTCGCTAATTGTGCCTGATTTAAACAAACAGTTTCTGTCAGTATGTGTTTTATTGATGGGCGTTGTATGTGTGTGTGTGTTGGTCAGGATTGTGCACATTTCCGCTTCCAGTAAAAAGGAGAATGCGTAAACACAGAGCAATATTATTACTCCCATTTTCGAAAACAAAAAGCAACAACAACAAGTGCTAGCGATAGCTGCTGCTCGATTGCTATTGCTGCCAGCGACCGTGCAGTGTCTCTTAGATGAGATACAGCGAAAGCACACTCCCTTTCCTGACTCCCATAATGCCGCTCTTTCGAAATTTGGTAAGCCATTTTGATTTTAATCACGCCTCTTTGCGTAGACTGAAAGATTCCGAGCTGAGTTCGCTTTCGTGCAAATATTTTCATGTCTGTGTTTGTGCATGCGAGTGTGTGCTTGTGGGTCTTGCATGGGAATTTATGAGGGAACTGTGAAAGCGGACAAACTGAAAAATTGATTAGGGTTCCAAAAATGCAATCAACTACAATATTCTAAACCATTTTATGCAGACTTGAGACCAATTTATAATACAAAAACTGTACTTTCTGAATGCCTCGATTACAGGAATCGTTTGCGCTACTGGTCTAGGCCTTCATTCCTGGAACTCTTCTTGCCCAAAACGAATGCGCACTGAGTTCATGCGTCTACAACATAGATTTATTCACAGAGATAGATCGCGCTGTTTATACGCTGCTTACTTTCCCAGCAGAGGTGACCCAGCGAATCCCTTTAGCGAGACCCGGCTGGATTGCTCTCGACAGTGAACGAAGGAATAGCAAGAGGTCGGTGGGTCTTTCTTGGCTGGGGCAAGGCAAATGGTCAGCACTGGCTACTGGCCGAAAGAAAAAGGGGTCGCTCAAATGGATATCGGTTGTTTTACATCAGTCTGCGGAGAAACGCAAGAGAATAAGAAAACTGAGAAATGTGCTACCCTCCCTGCTGCACATATCAATAATTCGACGATTTTCAGCGTTTCCAGGTGTGGCTCGGGAATGAATTCATTTTTATTCTTCCAGATGCCGTCACTGAAGGAATTCTTTGAAAGCAATGTTCACCGGCTTCAGCGACGAATCGGAGGCGAAGCGTCGATTCTGTCGTTGAAAAAAAAGAAGTCGACCCCCACGTCCTCCGAGGCGTGCCACTTTACCGACGAAATCTGGTAAGTTAGTGTGATTTTACAATTTTATGTAAATTTCTGATTAATATATATCTTTAAACGAAGTGAATAGAGGATGCCTAGAAATAGACAGTCGTCAACTGGTCACTGATTATAACTGGAACAAACAGCTAATTAATTAATTGTATGCTTAACCAAGATTGTTTCGCCAACTGCCTGCATTCGCTGCAATCTGCAGGGATGCAATTTTCCGCGAATGCTCTCCATTTGATTTGTATGCGTGGCGCCGTGTGAGTAAAAGCTTCAAGCGACGTATTGATGCCCGCTTCAACAACATATTGTATTTGTACGCCGATCGCAGGAATATTGCGCGCATGTTAGCTCGAGAGGAGAATCATGATGGTAGGTTGCATTTTCCTCAGAGCACATTAATAACGTCTAACTATTTGGCTGGTTATATTAAAGGCAATTGAACAGGTGTCCAGCATTTCAGAAGGCCGCATCAATGAATTCTATATTTAGGGACCGTTACGCATCCTTACGCCCCTTCGGCACTGCTGATGCAAATTTCCGTTGATTTTAGCCTAGCAGCCATGTAACTCAAGACAGAAAATTGTACGAGCCATCTCTTCGAGAGCTTTCTGGATGTTTGCTTTTCGTCGTTTCACTACCACACGCAGCAGTTCACTTTATCTGCCTTCAGCACATGATTGGTTCAGCTGTTTGTTTTTCACAGTGGGTCGGTATCAGAGCAATCTACTGAAAATGTGACATATGCGGCGGGCTCCCGGCACTTGAGATGAATCGAGAGTGCTCGCTTCGTCAGTGATAATTTTACGTTCACTAAGCTTAGTAATTCCCTGCGTAACGCATTCATACACCCAAAAACCGTACCATGGAAAAGCTGAAAATTGATGCCTTCATAAATGATGAAAAGTTCTCGTTCGTTGTTTTCACCTATCTGCCATACATGCCACTTCCGTCTTGCTTCTAGGCAATAGTTGAAAGAGCGCCATCGACAAATTTGCCAATGAGTAGTTGCTACAGAATGAGCTTAAAGGCAGGTTACTTACGAGCGCTTGTTGCTCTCACAAAACGTGATTTATAGAGTATGACTTATTGCTGTCCATGTACGAATTCATGGAGACATGAGGCAAGGTGATCCCATATCGTCCATGCTTCTCACTGTCTGCCTCGAGACGGTATTTCCTAAAATAGATTGAAAGATGCTGCACAAAACTGAAGGGGCCTTCTTTGTGCAAAAATAAAGTATGCATAAATTTACACCAGACCATTTTAGCTCAATATGTGACGTAACTTCTGGCATCGGAATTTACCATTCCCATTCTCCACGTCCTTGTCCTTTATCACCCATGCATATTTCGTGACTATAGCTTCAGCAGATCTGGAGAAGCAAAATATGCATAGATTTAATTTTGAGTTTTGCTATAGCTTACTTTTTCGACGAGTTCATTTTCGAGTGTCATTTCAAGCTGAAGAAGCCATAGTTCTTCGACCAACTGCACTTTTCATCCACAATTTCGAGTCCCTTTGCTGATAGTTTTTTCATGGCTTTGTGTACTAGTTCTTGCAAGAATTGTAGGGTCTCTATGATAAGTACTGTGTCGGAAGCTATAAAAAGTGTCTGGAATAACTTATCGTTAATACAAAAAATGTGTTGTTTTAACCTCTTATGAACGTACAGGAAAGGCTGTTGCGTGAGAGGAACTGCACCATTACCAGTTTTTGGGTTCTTGAAAAAGATTTACTTCCGTGTTTTGGTTCTTGTAAGAAGTTCAAAAAAGCACAGAAAAGTTTATTCAAAATTCTTATTAAAACTGGCGCATAATATCGCACCTTCACCCTTCTAACAAATCGTTATAGCGAATAGATCTGATACTAAGATAATGCTGTCTAAACTCGGCTCACTCTTTCTCCCGTTCAGAATTGTTCCTATTCAGGCGTGAATTATCCGCAGGCAAATCTTTTTCAATAGAGAGCAACAGACACATTGGGAGTTAGTTGCAAACATCCCTGAGATTTGAAGTTTTACCATTTTTGCTGAGTCGCTGAATGTGCATTGACGGATGCTGTTTCAGGGGCTTTTTATCGTCATCGCAGTGCACAGCTGCTGATGAGTTTAGATTTGCATAGCGCTATGTTCATTATCCATGAGAGGTGGACACCGCGGGATATCAACCGACTCTTCCAAGCAATACAGCTTCTGGCACCTTCTGTGCGGAATGTTACGGTGATTTTAAGTCCCTTTGATTTTTATACATTCTACCTAAATCAGCGCGCTCATTGCTTCTCGTCGTCCGTTTTTCCTAGTAATTCAGCTCCAGGACTGCAAAAGTCAAAAATAAAAAACAATGGAATTTTTGAGCACAGACCTTGCCAAGGGTTTGTTGATGCGCACACACTTGCGATTTTGCCTTCCATTCCTGAGCGTATCACGATAGTCGCACTACGCAATGTTGAAATTTACAAGTCATTTTCAACAACCGAATTGGCTCGGATTTGTCAGGGAAATTGTCCATTGATATTTGTTTCATAAGAAGACAAAGAGTTTAGGACGGTGTGCTGTCGATTTCACCGGCTGAGGGATCACGCAGACGAATTTAGTGCTTTCCTCCTTTCAAGATTCCGTTGAAACAAACAGATTACTGTTTTAGCTCTGGTATATCAATAAATTTTGTCACTTTTCTCTGGCTAGTAGAGGTGTGTTCTGAATGAAAGAGAGGGGAAGAGTGGACGGGATTTAAATGCATGCTTCGCCTTCTCGGTAGCGCAACGCACTATGCATAGGCACATGCGAGATTGCTCGACAGCGTGCGTAAGCTATAATTTTAAAACGGGAGAGTTACGCATTGGGTAAGCACATGGTGCAAAAGTTTCAGCTTCCTAGCTTCATTGGTTGCTGAGTGGAAAATAGGTGAAAAGATGCGAACACATGGACACACGCACACACACACACGCTCACACACACATACATATTTATGCTCACACAAACAACTGCTTGCCAATATGCGTTTTTCCACTTACATAAATATGCAAAAATGCTTAAGAGGCATTCTGGTGAAATTATTTCCACTTGTACATATCTCTCCATCCAGCTATAGTTGGTGCAGTTTTGCGGCAGTATTTCCTTATCTTTAAGCTGAAATTAATTTTCACACCTTCTCATTGACCCCGTTTTGCTTTCGACTCAAATTCCGGCCTATGTAGTAGCTTAAAGCTAAAATTTCGAAATTATTAAGTAATTTAGCGCACGCGATGCCAGTTGAGTGATCAGTTCTCAAAAGTTCGCAACGCTTGCATGCTCCCTTAAATCCGTCTGGACTTGTAGAATAGAGTACGACAAATGTCCCAAATTTTATCTGCTTACAAGCAACTCATTAGCCAGGAGGTGACTGCGGTGTATTACTTTTGCGTTTCCGTCTTGCAGTAACTGGTGACGGTGTGCATGACCGCGATCCATGCTCTCACAGTCACTGTTAATTTTCTTTGAATGATCAGTTACGCCGCAATGAGTAATAGCTTCTTCTTCCAGCTTGATATGGGGATCGTTGAGCTGATAACAGCAGGCCTATCAAGTATGGATTTGACTCGATGGCATGCTTTCCAGTGCTATCTTAAAACGCTTGATGGATCGGGTGCTGAGGATTCAGTGCATGTCCAGTGTACCCCATCTACATGCCAAGCTACTTTCTTTCCGAATGTAACAGAGGTAAAAAAAAATCAACGCTTCTTTAATTTCACTTCGAATCCGTGTACAACCGTAGTTTATCGTGATCTTATGCCATTGACCGGGATGTCTTTCTTCATACAGCCCCATCAGTTTTTATCAAACGTATGCCGGCGAACGGAGTGGGTTTTCGTAGTAACGGAGTGTTGTCATTCATAATAAAAAAAAGCACTACTCTGTCTTGTTTCTGCGTTACAGTGTTAAATTTAACCGCAAAAAGACAACACACAAGTTGGGCACATGGAGTGGAAATTAAGCGAGGAAGGTGCAAGCATGAATTCAGAAGCACGGCGCTGGGTTAAAAATCGGGTCTGTAAAAAGCAGTAGCATTGAAACACTTAATTATGCAAGAAATAGTGAAATGGTAATATTTATGTCGCGTCTTTGTGCACTTCTCTGTCTGTGTAGCACTGTAACTGTTTTACCTTTTTTAGTTCACGGTGCAAGTTGGTGAGCATGATTATTCGGCACTAACGCGTCTGATGGATTATGCGGTCGATGCTCGTACTCTTTTTTCGCTGGATAAAATTGAACTTTTCCGGGTACATTTTATTTCTAGCAACGAACAACAACAACGATGTGCTTTCGGCGCGGAAGTAGATCATTTGTACAGGAAAAGAACAGCTAAACATTTGCAAAATTTCAAAAAATGGATTGGTGCTGCAGGTCTCGGCGAACGCTACTGCCAGCAGTATTCTTGACTGATACCTAGGCGGGCGCGCATAGCTTTCGGCAAAAGGAAGGTGCATCTTTAAGCCTTGGTTATGCGGCCACTGTTCGGCTAGAGTGACGTCTCCAAGCGATTAGAATGGCATTTTGTGTTTAGGCGCCAGTTCTTCTATTTCATTTTGATTTACCGTCCACACTGATTCTGCACCACCTTATCTGAAGTTTGGCTAAACGCTTCGATCTGTCGGCTGAATTTGACATCGTTCATCCATTTTTTTAGTCTGATCTGGCACTCCTAAAAACAAAAAAAAGGTAGTGTTGTGCAACGCTACAGAAATTTTACGTCGAAGTAGGATATCGCTGCAGCTCCTTGAGTGTTTCCTGGACACTTTGCGGCTGCGCGATTTTTGGACCATCATGCAACGATTCCCTACCGTCCTAAAACTGCTTTTTTCCGATTTTTCCAGGAAGTGATTTGCTTGAGCAATCCTTTCCTTTACACCCAATGTCTTGTGGCAGACGTCTTCCACAATCTCCTCACAGATAATGTCATAAGTCGTCACAAAATCTAAGGTAGTTTTCGAAAGCAGTTAATGGGATCGTTGCTGGGCAAATAAACGAGTGCTGCTATCTAAATATGTTCAGATCTGTTGTGTGATGTTTCCTGGAGAATATGCTTTATGATTAATTTCCAGAATACCCCCGAAGTATCGTACTTTGATTGTGTTATATAATAAATGCATTATTCAGCTAGACCTGTGATAACAGTGTCAGACCCCGTCTTTTTGTTTTGGATAAGTAAAAATGTACTAAGACAAGGTAACATATATGTGTGTATATCTGTACGTATATACAGATATATACACATATACGTTATATATATGCATGCGTCGCTGGGTAATCCTACTACAGGACTGTGGAAGCTAGCAAGCTGTAATTTTGAGGACAGTCGAGAATTTTGATAGCTTATTGACCAGATAGTTCAACGTGAGAAATATAAAATCATTTACCAAGATGTGCTGTACCTTTTTTCACCTGTGACTTTAAGTCCAAATTTACGCTGACTTTAAACTTCCAACTTCTGAGCCTCGCACCTTTCAAATTCCGCAACAGATTCTGTAACAGAAAGCAAGCGAGTCGTTGCTTAGTTTTTAAGAAGCATTTTGAAACAGAAATGCTTGATCATAAGGGAACTGAACTTTTTTCATTCATACTCAGCTCTTCTAAGCTTTGATGTCTCGCATTTCTGCAGTGTCGTGGCTTAGCCTCCTACTTAGATCTCAGACTGAATCTCGTTTTCTGCCGTGATACAACAAGACGGCAGTTCTCAGCACTACTTTTGTTCCTGCCGTCAAGATCGTGTAATTTTTACATTATGTAATCTAGGCCGACATTGCCTGGGACTGTCATCATGGAGTTCTCACTGTCACAAAAACGGCAAGAACAACTAGTCATAGCAGTGCTGTTCTGGCCTACTGGTCTTCCTTTTCACGGTATACGCGCCCCGTCTTTTCTTCCAGATGGTCTTTTTTTGCAAGCGCCGTCTACGTGCTTGCGTGTTTATAACATATGTCACATTTGCTGTTATTTATTTGCTTTTCCGCTCTTTTGTGCTCACGGGTATGTGCTCTATCATCATGACTGTATAAATTTGCATGCAGATTTGCAACAAAGAATAATCACCAAGATCGCCTGGCGGCCTATTAGTGTCGAAAGAAAAAATCATTGGCAACGCGCACCGGCGGGACCGTGCGATCATGCGTTTTTGCAGTGTTTCGTACTGTAATAAGGTCACTCGAAATTCCGGTAGCTAGAAACCTCTTGTCGGGAAGTTAGAAACGGATCCTCGATTTTCGGGAAGTTAATTATCCATGCTGTACTTGGACAGGGAACATTCCCTTGAAATCTCAGGCTCCCAGCTTTCTCAGCTCCCGAGTTACCCAAACTGCAGCCAGAAAATTTCACGGGGCCGTACGTGGCAACCACGCATAACGGTGGGCTGCATTTGATAAATTGAAGTTGTAGATGAGTTGGGAAATTTTCCTAAAAGTTTCAGCCTTTCAGCTTCCCTGGTTCCCGAGCTAGCGATTTTTGCGCCAAGAACCCTCACGGGGCCATACGCGGGAACCACGCACGCCTGGGAGCTGAATTTGAAAACTTTGAGTTCCATGGAGATGGGGGACATAATCTTGAAATTTCAGCTTTTTAGCTTTTCTGATTCCCGAGACAGCAATTTTCCTGCTAAAACTTTCACCCCCTTGTACGCGAGGCCCAGACTTGCGTGAAGTTTGATACCGCGGTCCTGGGGTGGTACTTGGCCGGGGAATCCACTAGCAAAATTTTGGGGCCGGAGCTTGCTTGGGTACCGAATTGGAATATCCGGACAGACGCACACACACCGGGATCGTCAAAATATGCGTTTTTGCATTTGCATATAAGCAAAACGCATAAAAATAAGGAAAACAAAAACTGAATATATAAAGCCGAATCTAAAGCACTATGGAGAGCATTCTACAAACACGCTAGTGAATGGCCGTGGTGGTACGCATACACATGGTGGTGTTAGTCCTCAAAAGACTGTACAGGCATACATAAACACAACGAATTATTAAGAAGTACTAAAGCAAGGTTTTCCAAAAAACTGCCAATATCAGTAGCGTTGACAGTGTGAAACAAATATGAATGGAATTCGAAGGCGTAGAAATGCTAAGTGGTTGAAATTTCTTCTAAGGTGGAGGAAAGAACCTCTAGCCGCTGGTGCTTCAGCACCCTCGAGTCGGTAACCGATAAAACTCAGCAGCAATGCAGCAATGAGACTGCAATGTTGTTAGAGTCGTTTAGATAAACTGCAAAGCCGAAATTTTACAAGGATACTATATGTTCACGTGTAGTCTAAATTCAGGTTGGAGGCTAAGTTTTGTGCACACTCACTTGACAAATACTCAATTTTACCTCAAAAATGAGTGCATTTTGCAGGTTTCGTCACCCTTTTTCAACATCCGTAGGCGGATCCAGGGTGGTCTCCTGGGGAAGAGGGCGATTTTTCATCTCCCCTTCTCCCTTCACCACTACAACCCCCTCCCTCTCCCCCTTCCCCACCGGCCACCTCACAACTCACTCTTCGATCGTTGCGCTACCCTCCCCCTCGATCGTCCCACTACACCCCTCCCTCTCCTCTCTCGTCACTACCCTCAACGGCTGGCTATCCCTCCCCCACGCTCTTACTGGACAAATCAAAACTAGCAGGGCTCTTTGAGGTGCAAGGGAAGCGGGAGGGACAGGGGAAAGAGGAAGTACCGAACACACTTCGTACAGTAAAACAACTGCTACCTGAGCCCCTCATACTACGGATTAAGACTTCGCACGGCCCCATGATGCAATACTACCGTCCCAGCAAATGCCCTTTTTCCCTGGATGCATGAAAAGGTTATAACATGGCTAATATGAGTACACGTATTAAAACGTAAAGCAGCGTCCATTCATACTGTTAAAGATCTGATTCCTTCAAGTTTGCTGCAAAATACGCATGATCACACAGGTAAGCCTGAAGCGTCGCTACCTGAGTTTTAAAATAAATTTTTTTTGTTCTGAAGTCTCGCACTCGCAGTTATGTTCGTAGTGGGCGGGCGTTACACCCTCGTAATATTACAGCTTCCATCTGTATCTGGTTCTCGAATTGGCATGGTACCAACATCGCTATTGAAATGCTAGGTGAAGTGAAAGCCGAATTTGAAATCTTTGGGTCATACATAAACATACAACACTTTCGTAAAACCTCAGTTTCCTAACTTGTCTGATTTTTTAAAAAATCTTCAGCCAAAATATTTCTGGTGTGTTCGTGCGTCAGAATCAAGAGAAATTAAACATTCATGATGCGTTTGGAAAACCATCTGAAGTGGTGAGTTTGTTTGCTAAATTTCAGCTTCATAACTTCTGCAGATTCTGAAAACGAAATATACGGACACATACACACACACACACACACACAGACAACCTCTCGTCAACATGCATTTTTGCATTCATCAAAGATACAATCATTGGCGACGCGCACTGATGGGCCCGTGCGATCATGTGTTTTTGCAGTGTTTCGTGCTGTAATAAGATCACTCGAAAATTCCGCCAGCTAGAAACTTCTTGTACATACTGGTCCTCGAATTTCGGGAAGTTAATTATCCAAACTATACTTGGACAGGGAACATTCTCTTGAAATCCCAGATTCCCAGTTTTCTTAGTTCCCGAGTTACCCAAATTGCAGCCAAAAAATTTCATGGGGCCGTGCGTAGCCAACACGCATAACGGGGGGCTGAATTTGACAAATTCAAGTTGTAGATGAGTTGGGAACATTTCTTGAAAATTTCAGCCACCCAGGTTCCCTGGTTCTGGAGTTATTCATTTTCCCGCCAAAAATTTTCACGGGGCCGTACGCGGCAGCCACGAATGGCGGGGGGCTGAATTTGATAAATTGAAGTTATTGATGAGTTGGGAACGTTTCCTGAAAGTTTCAGCCTCCCAGCTTCCCTGGTTTTGGAGTTATTCATTTTCCCGCCAAAAACTTTCACGGGGCCGTTTGCGGCAACCACGCATGAAGGGAGCTGAACTTGATAAATTCAAGTTGCAGATGAGATGTGAAATATTCCCTAAAAGTTTGAGCCTTCCAGCTTCCCTGGTCCCGGAGTTATTCATTTTCCCGCCAAAAACTTTCACGGGGCCGTAGTGGCAATCACGCATGGCAGGGGGCTAAATTTGATAAATTGAAGTTATAGATGAGTTGTGAACATTTTCTGAAAGTTTCAGTCTCCCAGCTTCCCTGGCTCCGGAGTTATTCACTTTCCCGCCAAAAATTTTCACGGTGCCGTACGTGGCAAGCATGCACATTGGTGGACTGATTTTGATAAATTGAAGTTGTACATGAGTTGGGAACATTTCCTGAAAGTTTCAGTTTCCCAGCTTCCCTGGTTCCGGAGTTATTTATTTTCCCGCCAAAAATTTTCACGGGGCCGCACGTGGCATTGGTGGACTGATTTTGATAAAT